TGCGGGGTCTGGCTTATCTTCTTTCGTCAAAGAATAGTCAAATTCGCCAGGTGGCTGAGGCATCCACGAGACTGGGTTAGTACCAAGTGGTCAGCATGCCATCTCAATAATATGTAGTCTAGAGAACTGAAGTCATGATTGTAAACCTCGATTGGAATAGTCCATCACCCTGGGGTATCTAGTTTTTCTTTTCTTTTCACTTTGTTTTGCCGTAGAAGTATAAGGAGCCATTCCAAAATCTAATTGCGTTCCAAAACCAATTCCAGTATCCTCCGCGCTTTGTTCCCTTCCAGATACTCCCTCCCTTCTCTTCTCCAATCATCATCATCTTCATCATCACCAACCTCTAACTCTACTTGTAAGCTAGCCTCATATGCACTCATTACGGTCTCCTCATCAACCCGAACTCCCCCTTGAACAAGAACTCGGATACACTGCGCTAGTCGTGCAATTTCTCGCCTTGTTTGAGCCGGAATATCATCATTTTGGCTGGAGTATATAGAGCTCGACACCATCTCCTCCATGCGGGTAATCGACACGCTATCCGTGGTGGAAGACGCGGCAGCGGTATCATCGGCATGTTTCGAAATCCAGATATACCCGTTAACTCCAAGTATGACATCCACATCGCCGCCTCCATTGGCGGTGTTGACTGTCCACACCTGTCTCCGAGACCGAACTACTCCTCCCGTGCCTGATGCACCCATCGCTCCTGCAGAGATAGGTCCGGAGCCAATTCCTCCTTTTACCATCGAACTTGAAGCTCCACTCCCACCCGTTCCGGTCACGGCGAGAAAAACCCCATTTCTGAGTTTTCCGTACTTCAAAGACCGTGTATGTAGCGATGCTGCGCCATCAGAATGTACGGTCTGGACTTCTGCGACTACTAGGTCGCCTTCACTGAAGAAAGTTCTGATCTGTAGTTCATCGGCGCTCGTTCGCCGACGTAATATACCGCCCGGAAGGTTGATCGCAGACAGTGGGAGCTGTGCAAGGAGCGGAGCAGCAACATCTACTTTCCATCGTCTGGACTGAACTTCAACAATGCGTCCCACGACAAGGTCACCTATTTCTGGAGTATAACGAGCTCGAAGCGGTTGTACGGAGAGAAGTTTGTTGGTCTTTTGAACAGTACCGGCGACCGTGGCAATTATGGAGGTCGAAAGGAGATTTATATAGGTACCATGTCCTCTGTATGCCTGTCAATGTGTGCCCATGAAGTACAAACGGTAACGCATCTGAAACCCCGTATCGGACCAACTAACCTCATCCATTGTGGATCATCTGTCACAATTTCTCCAGGCGTAACCACCCCTGACGTAATGTCTGTTCCTTCCACTAAGCGAGGTCGTTTGCTCGGTCTTGACGTCCTTCCTGTTGCTAGGTCTACTCCTCCGTCCGAGTCCACGGACATGGAATCCACGTCTGAATCCGAGTGGGATAGGTCGACATGATCGACTATTGGGGGAAGAATTGTAATAGCCATTCTCTAAAAGTTCTCAACTGCCGGATATGTGGTTGTCAATACATTCATGAAGTATGGTATATGGTGACATGTTGATATGGAAGGATTCTAATATATGATGGAGAGAAAGGCTTTCTGTGCAGGGAGCAAACATGACAAACTTGGAGTGGAGACTCGATATTTATGCACAAAGGCCTGTAACCATTAATCATAAGAGATTAAACTTCGGTTTCGAAAAACCATCATTTACACACACTTTCCTTTACAAAAGGAACGGGAAAATGATATAGATATAATAACTAATAAAATAAAAATAAAGAAAGAAAGAGAAAGTTCTAAAATTAGGGATTTAATATTAACTGGGAGCTTACAAAACATACAATCTCCTAGAGACCTGCGATACGGAGTACTTGGAGTAACATTTTGTGGTCTCGCTCCGGTCTCATATTCAATTTCGGAGATTTACCTTCAAGAACGAGAAAACAAGGAAGAATAAAAGAAAACTGGCAAGTCAACTATAGGAACTAAGTGGTAGGACAACGAAACCATGTCTCAATAAGCTCGACATAATGGAGAACACGGATCACAGCCATGGCCCGCAGCTTCGACATCGAGCATATAATCATGACTTGACTCGGGTAAACTTGAACACCATTTCCGGTATTATTCTGATGAGCTGGAGCTATCCATCTTTCAGGACTGCCTCAATAACATCCAATCAAATCAATGCAGTGGAAGAAGAGAATAAGAAAAATTACAAAATGCCAACACTATTAATACATGTATAGAATGAAAGGAGGGAACTTTCAGGCACCTACCCCCGATGTTCTCTTCGACGAACGCTTGACGACGCCAGAACTGCCATCGTCTTTCTTTTTCCGACTTGACCGGCTGCTACTACCACCTTTGGATTTATTGCCAGCGTCTTCTTCGCGCTTGCGTTTGCCCTTAGAACCTCCTGACCCGTGTCCAGTATCTATTAAAACACTATCGTCATCGTGGGGATCTTCGTCTTTCCGCGACTGGTTGGGGGCTGCTTTCTTGGACGTGCGCAAATTCGATGGTCGAGAGGCAGACTTTTCGGAAGCGTTCTCATTGTCTTGTAAGAAGATATGCGGTTGGTTCCTTCGTAGCCAATTGTAAACCGAGATTGGATTTCGCAATGCAGCCTCTCTCTCTCGTTCAACAAAGGAAAGTTTCTCAGGGATGCTACTCAGTTGTAGGACTGCTGAATCATCACCTAGTTTGGCGTCGGTAGCCAGATAATGCTCATTTTCGTGTTCAGGTGTGAAGAACCCAAGGCTATGTTCAGAAGCAATATTTCCGGATTGATTTTCTTCTGGTTGAGGAAGCGTGTGGGGAATCCTTATCAACGACGTATACTGCATACGCGGTACAAAGGCTTCGTTCTGTTTCACAGAACTCTCCAGGTCACAGTAATGCTCAACCGTCATGAGACCAAGTGCTAGATCCGTTCTTGCGTTTCTGAGCATTGAGCTAGCCACGGAAGGATCGTTGTGTGAGGGCGAGAGTTCTCTTTGAGGAGTTGGGGGGAAGAGATCATCTCCGGGAACACTCAGATCGTACCGTAGGTCCGGTGAGATATATATACTGTCGTTAAATTCTAAAAGAGTTTCTAGTAGCTGGCTATACAGCATTATTATATGAGCGACACATGAAGAAAAGATGGGCTGGGAAACACACTCATTCTGCTCCTGTATCCTCTTTGAGAGATCCTGGATGCGCAACTCCTCCCGGATGAGCGATTCGCTCTCTCTCATTCCGAGCTCGAATTTTACTTTGAGTTTCGCAAACTTCTTCCTGTGAAAAAAACAGGATTAGCATACGACAATGAATAAAGATATGAACAGATGCACTTACTTAAAAGACCGGTATGACTGTTTGTTAGGGGCACCTGCGGGAGCATCGGGAAGGCTTTCGGCCACGGACTGGGCCTCATCTGCGTCTTGAGACATGGTGTAACAGAAGAATTAGTGTTAAATTTGACTGACAAAGGTAGAGGCTATAGCATGGACGCGAATGTATCAGTGTATAGGGGTTGAGTAAGTTGATTAATTCTAGTAATAACCTGGTCGCGCGTTAAGCGGTGTTGCCAAGAGGCCCATACGGGACCAAATGATGTTTGAAGGGTGATCCGGGCGGAATGTTTCTGCCCGCCCAAAAGAGAATAGGAAAAAAGAAAAAAAAAAATAGAAAGTTAGTTTCCTACAATGAACTTTTACTTATTCGCATACAGATAAATTGTGCCACAACCTGACCCAGTGCTTGTCCAATTACTAGTGACCAACGTCCTCTTTTATCTTCTTTTCTTTTCTATTTCTTTTGTCGCGTGGATTTGGCAAGCAAAATGTCAGCGGTTGGTGAGGCAAACCATAAAAAGCGAAAGTTACCAGAGGTATCCGAGATCGAGATCGACGTCTCTGCTCCTGAACCTCCATCAAAAAAAGCTCTGCGTAAAGCAAAGAAGAAAGCTGTTGATGCTCCACCGGAGACTACTACTACTACTACTAGCGAGCAGAAGACGGAAGTCGCTACAGACCACGAAGAAAATTCCAAGAAACGCTCAGACTATGGAGTCTGGGTTGGAAACCTAGCGTTTTCCATTAGTAAAGATGACCTGCGCAAATTCTTTACAAGCAATTGTTCTTTTACGGATACTACGATCACTCGAATACATTTACCCAAGTCATCAGAAAAGCATGGGAAAGCACAAAATAAAGGATTTGCATATGTTGATTTCTCCAACCAGAAGGCCACGACTGAGGCATTGGGCCTGAGTGAACAACTCCTATCTGGGCGCCGTGTGCTTATAAAAGATGCCAAAAGCTTTGTTGGTAGACCACAAAAGTCCCAGCAGGAAAATCAGAAGACTGGCGCTGCTGGGGCGGCCTCGGGTAACCCTCCTTCTAAGCGTATATTCGTCGGCAACCTTGGCTTTGACGCCACGAAAGAGATCATCGAGGAACATTTTGGAAAATGTGGGTCGGTTGCACATGTACAAGTAGCAACATTTCAAGACTCCGGGAAATGCAAGGGTTATGCCTGGGTGACATTCGAAGACATCACAGCCGCGGAGGCAGCGGTGAGAGGCTTTGTTATGGTTAATGAAGACGATGAAGATGAAGAAGTACACGGGTCTGACTCCGAAAACTACAAACAGCCAAAGAAGCTGAAACAAAGAAGGGTATGGGTAAACCAGGTTTTGGGTCGGCGTATGCGGATGGAGTTTGCAGAAGATGCAACAACGAGATACAAAAAGCGCTTTGGCAAGGACGGCGAAGGCAAGAAAACACAAACTATAGATGTTAGTGGGTCAGACCCTTTTGACGGTCAGGATGCAACCGGAAGACAGCCTCAACGATCACGATCCGCAAAGACTATGCAGGGAAAGATGGACTACTCAAGATATGATACGGAAACTGTGCAAAAGCTCAGTGGTGCCATTGTTGAGTCTCAAGGAAAGAAGACTACGTTCGATTAATATAGCCAGGGTTCTCTTCGAAAGAGACAAGAGAGTAGTTCGTGGCTAGTAACGAATGAAGATGTTGTTAGTGCCCAGAAGCTCCTCGAGGGGACAAAACCGAACTACAGGCAAAAGAGTTGTTCATGACTTCAGCCCATTCCGATGGATCTACTGCCGTTCGGGAAGACTGAAAAATCTGCATGGTAATGATTAACAGTTTGCTCCTACTAGTATGCGGGCATTGTTGATCCAGCTGGCGAATAGATTTCCAGATCATTGATACCCAAAAGAGCAGCAATACGTATCTAAAATATGGCATGATGAGTGTCGATAATAACTATATAGATTGACCTTCTTTCCATTTCTGCGAACGAGCAGCAGCTTACTAAGACGTGAACATAGTTAACCAAATAACTAGTTAGCTATGCGGGCATTTTGACAAACCCTCGTAGAACTTCTTTTTTCTTCTCTCTCTTTTATTTTTTCCTTTCATTGTTGGTTCAACGCCTTAGGTAACTGCCAGTGATGTCTGAAGATATAATTATCCATTAGTAGCGCGGAGTACTTTTAAAATAGCATACAATGGATTTCTCTACTTCCTTGCAATGTCTCGTAGATCCCTCTTAGTTCTAGAATCGCTGATGTGGTTTGGGGGGCGCTAACCGGATTTAGAAGGTTTGACATCGATGGACCGGAGATGTCATGGCTCAAGGCTCATGCTCAAAAACCACCAAAGCTGTTGCGCCTTTTTAGACTATCCTCCCTTTTCCCACACCTCTTGCCCTCGCTTCCGAGGTGCATATTCTTCTCTTTAATACTGACCATCACGACTTTGCCGTTCTTCCCTGTGAAGAAACATCGAACTTGCTTCCCTTTCGTTGCTGTAGTGCACAGTCTGGCCCACCTTTCCTTGCAACGCCGCCGGTCTCGCCGCAATCTATCTCAGGTAGCTGCGACCGTTCCTCGACCTGTTTCCAGCATTTTCTAACGCAAACAACCATCGGATACGACCATCTGGTAGCACTAAGATTTCCTTTTTCTATTCTTCCCCGCTTGGATGGCTCTCCGTCGTCACAATATCGGTGCTAGCCGGCGAAAGAGGAGAGATGAGGAAGGAGAGGATGAAGGCTCTATAGATGGAGAATTGGAGGATGATTCCTTGAGTGATGGGTCTGGTATCAGCAACCCTGACGACGATGATGCCGATGGCGAAGGCAGTGATGACAGCGATGACGATAGGGTATCTACGTCCCCGCATGTGGCTGCCAACGGCCGTCGTCAAATAAATGGTCGTGTGCCCGAAATAAACCAAACGTTGGCACCACGCCATTCTGCCTCACCTAGGAAGCACCCCCTGACAACTGCTGTGTCAGATACGGAGGCGATGATGAATGGACTGAGAATAATGGACGAATCGAGTGAGGTGATGGAGGTACACTTTAACGACTTGAAGGGGGAATCTAGCCATCAGACCGAAAGAACACCGTCTGCCCCTCCTACGGAACCAAAGCGAGACACCTTTTCGGACAGGAAGCGTCGTGAACAAGAAAGACACATTAGGGAAAAGGATGAAAGCCCAGTGTTTGTGCCTACCCGGGGTAGCTTCTTTCTACATGACAAACGTTCCACGGAAACGGTGACAAACGGCCACAAGCAGTTTAATAAATCAAAATCAAGGCCGTATGGCCTCATCGTTGATGGTAATGTTCGCAGGTATGGTCCCTTCAACCGCACACTTATTCACCTTGATGGCAACACATCAGCGCTTAAATGGTAGCGTATTTCTGACTGTTTCCAGGACTGTCAAACCAGATGCCAGCGAGGGATTATGGACACATGATCTTCACGATACAGTCGCTGGGGATGAGCCATCTGCCTCGAAGCCCTCTACCACATCGGCACTAACATCTATCATACCTCCAAAACCTGTCCCCACAGCCCCTAGATCATCACCCCCCAACAGGTCTTTTTCAAGCACTACATTAATTGGAAATGTGCCTGTCGTAGTATCCCTGCCGGGCATGGAGCATCCAGTTCCTTATCCTTCTGTTTCGAAGAAGCAGCACACACGTTTACCTCAGCATCGGCCCCCTCTACGCCGAGACAAGCCCGTTCGAATCTCACTCCCAGGCCAGCCTCCAAGGTACATCTTACCTGCAACAGAGAGGTCTTTCATATTTATTCCACGGGCTTTGCGACCCAACCAACAGAATTTCCGAGGACGTGGTCGTGGTGGATTCTACGGAGGGCGGCGTCCTAGCCTTTATGCAAACTCTACTTACTCATCAAGTATCACCGTGAGTCGAAGATCATCATTTGGAAAGGCACCATCTCAAGAGGGATACCACTCGCCGGCAGGCTCAGTTCTCTCGAGGCACACAATGGTGACAACAGAGAATGGCAAACCAGTAGTCCGCCTTCCTCCACCTGGTAGGCCACCTGGAAGCGTTGGAGCGATCCCGCAGACAGCTGCTGGACCAGCAGCCCCCCCGACCACTGTACCGCAACCTCATCCTCATCCTCAGCCACCAAATCCCGTCTTTCGTGAGAGCCGTCCGGCTCCGATACCCATGCATCAGCCTCGTCCTCAGAAGGCGGTTTCCCTCGCCGATATTGAAATGCCGGCGAGATTCCCGTTCAATCCTCCCCAACCACAGCAGGAACAACCATTCCATCACCAGGTCCCAGTGTCTGCAAATGGTTCCGGCTATGGTCCTGATACCTCTGGCCACCCTCCTCCTTCCGCTCACAGATCCTTAACACCAACTTCCCACATACAGGATCGTACCTTTCATGCCCCATCTCACATCCCTGCATACCAACAGGCGTTCTGGCCTGCCTCCTATCCTCCAGGCGCTATCTACTATCCTGGCTCGGGGACGGAGTTCCCTCCATATAACTCGGCTGTCGGACCTGGGCCATCCGTGCCGCCTTTACCTCCTGGACAACAAGCCCCATATATGGTTCCCGTTTCCCATGGCTCGACAGAACAACCGTCACTGTCAGGCACTGTTGCACATGAAGCTGGTGGAACAGTATATTTCTACGATACCACGCAAATGCCTCCTAATTCCTCATACGCAATGCCTGCTGCACCTGGGATTGGTGCAGTTATGGATATGGGCGCGCCTCCGGTTCCATTCTATTATTATCCGTACCCTCAAGCGGGCGTGTATTACCCTGCGCAGTAAAGCATACGATGCTCATATACACTGTACGGAACGTTTTTTTTTTCTTCTTTTTTATCTTCCTTTCTTTTTTTTTTTTATTCTTCTATCCATTTTCTTCTCAATTCAGCCCAAAATATCATTATCCTCTTCGTTCGTATCATTCTGTGTTGAGTTCCGTTTGGAATTTTCGTTTCCCCTATATTTTCGTTCTTTTCCCTCCTTTTTCCTTTCGCTATCCCTGCTCCGTGGCGATGCTAAATTTTTACCGTTAAAATCCATTATAACCGTTTATTTCCTTAGCAGCCTTGAACGATGAATTTTCTGCTGGGGTATTCTTTCCTTTTCGTCTTTTCGGATACGGTCTGTCGGTCATGCTCCTCCCATCCATTCTGTCTTAATCGTGGTTAGATTAGGATTCTATGCATATTTTTAGCGTTTGTTTTTCACCATTGTCTGTTGTCAACGGATCTATGTCGGAAGATGTCTCACGTTTTATATGTATACCATCATTTTCATCTGAAGGATAATACGACAACGGTTCTTAGTTTTCTAGCTAGTAATTAGTCGCTTGTTCTGCATCAGTCGTACACCCGTACAGGGATGGATTTTGGAGTGGTGTGTGCTATTAAGGCTTTCTGCCGTTTGACGCAACTTCGCCTATCGATTAATGAGTATCTCTATCCAATATAGGCCAGTGCTACTGATAATTGTACTAATGTAAGCATGATGCAAAAGGAAGCAAGGAGTTGACGAGGAGGCTAGAGGTCAGTAGCAGAAGTACTTGGAGTAGAATAAGAAGAATAACCACGTAGTTTGAATGGGGTCCAGTTAAAAGGCCCAATCTATTGGCAATAGGCCGACCGAAGATCACGAAGGTCCGTGTAAGGAAGATATACATGTACATACCGTATGTCTGGTGACGTAGTTGGTATATTACATACTACATACTCATAGCACTAATGGAAGTGCCATTAACTTCTCAGCAGCCACCAGCCAACCACCAACGGGGATGCCCCGGAAGCCTACTGGTACGAAGTAGGCTTCACCGCCCCCTCCCCCAGCCGAATGCAGCAAAGCAGATGACCACCTACCCCCGTCAAGGCGTCGTCGCCCTTTAACCCATCGATTCCTCTCTTCTTCTTCTCTTACTTTACCTACCTTACTTTGCTTCACCATTCCAACAAATCTATTTCATTTCATCATCATCACTTTCTTCCACCTCCGTTCCAGTCATCACTCTCCCATTCAACCAACACCATCCAGGTAGCTCGATTCTTATCACTGATCTATCCTTTCTCATCACTAGCGTGCCCGCTCCCTTATCTCTAGGGGCATGTTTGGCATCTCAAGTGATTTCATCGTCTAGGGAATCTTAAAAGCATCATGTCGACCTCTGCGTCCCAGGCTACTTCCATAAACCCGAATACCTTAATTACGGTGAAGGTGCTTTACAATGACAATACTCGTCGCTTCAAAATCCCTTTGAAAGAGCTTGAAGCTCGTGTTCTCCCCCAAAAGGTGTGTCCCCACCGTAGCTCCGACCGGAGCTTACAGTGTTCCCCTGTATGGTGTAGACCTTCTTTACCTTTTGAGAATTTCCGCTTTTCAAAGCTTCTGTCATAGGGGGTCTAACCTCCCAGGTCTGAAAGAAAGAATGAAAGAATTGGAAGATGTTTCCCACACTTGAGTTGCTAAATCTTCCAGCCTCATTACTGATGTCTTCGTATGTAGCTCCGCCAGCTTCTTGGCATCCCGAGAGATGTCAACGTCATTCTTGAACGCTTGTCTGATAGCGCTGGTTGTTATATCCACCTGGACAGCGAAAACAATTCTGTCTACAAACAACTCTACCGTGCTGCAAAGGCCAAATTAAAACTGCGAATTAAGGTTACAGAGGTTGACAATACTACCTCTCAATCACCACTGCCCGCAGAAAATTCCACTGAGCACCAGGATCAGGTGAGATACAGCTACCTTCAAACAGTATTAAGCTCTCCGCTCCCTGAAGGCTCAGCTGAAGCTGTTTCCGAATCGCCACGTGATGCTGCGAAGCCCACCCTAACTGAGCCCAAGACCATGCAATGGTCTAATACGGGTGGCGTAGCTCCCGAGCCGCAATACCAAGACTTCAATTTGGGCCAGGATAATCTCAGCACCCCTGTGGTCTCACATAAATCTCCCATGGGTGTTTTTTGCATTGACTGCAATCATTGCGGTTTATCTATTCCCAATGAACACTACCACTGCAGTATCTGCGATGATGGTGATTATGACCTATGTCTCCATTGTGTAGACTCGGGAGTTACCTGTCCAAATGAGGACCACTGGTTAATTAGACGCATTGTTAAAGATGGCATTGTCACCAACAGCACCACAGAGACAGTTGCTCCTCGAAAGCTCCAGACAAACGTTCCCGAGGAAGGCCCCGAAGAGGTCGAAAAGAAATCAGAGCTTGTCCCAGAATCCGTTTCTGAAGACACCCCAAAAACTTCACCAGTTCCTGTTGAAGATGCTGTTCACTCGGAAGCCCGTATTTGCAATGCTTGCCTCAAGGGTACGTTCTCTCCCCCTCCCCAAGTTTCTTTCTTTTTTTTTAATATTTTCTTTTCTTCCTTATACCCCCCTCCTCCTAGCTAGGGGCTCCTAAAGCAAAACATCTATATACTAACTAGAAGCAGAATTTAACGAAACTAAAATGGTCACTTGCCTTCAGTGCAAGGACTATGATCTTTGTATCACGTGCCTTCTGAAGGATTCCCATGGTCATCACCCAGCTCACAACTTTTCTCTTCTTCATGACGGGCCCTTCTGTTTAAAGAATTTGGTTTTGTCACGCTGCAAACCTGGGCGTCGTTATCAACATGCCGCCATCTGTGACGGCTGCGAGAAGGTAGACCATGCGACTTGTAAATTCGTTGCTGTGAGCTAACACATCTTTAGAATGTCGTCGGTGTGCGCCACAAGTGCCTCACCTGCCCTGATTGGGATTATTGCTCTGAGTGTTTTTCAAATGCACCGGAGACTCATCCTGGTCATCGATTTGCTCCACTTTATGAGGCCATATCTGAGCCGTCTCAGGCTCATGAGGTCCACTATGGTATCTTCTGCGATGGCCCTCTTTGCAAGAACAAGGCAGTCCCTGGATATATTACTGGGATCCGTTACAAGTGCTCCGTGTGCTATGATCTCGACTTCTGCGCCAGTTGCGAGGCGCTTCCGACAAATACGCATAACCGAACTCACCCAATGGTCATGCTCAAGACTCCTGTTCGCAATGTTACTGTCAGTACACTCCAGGAGGATAGATTCGGGGGATCTACAGTCGCCCTCGGTGATCGTGCTCAAAGATCCCTATCGACCCAAGCCGTCAATTCGGTGGAACCCGAGGCCTCTATCCCCGATGTGCCCGTTAAAGAAGAGTCGGGTTTATCACAAGACAGCGAGTTCGTGAAGCAGGAACGTACACTTTCAAGAGAGCAGCCAATCAAAGCTGAGAAGTCCACTAATGCAGCTTCCGGATACGACGCTCTATTTGTGCGTGATACGGTACCTGACAACACCATTATATCGCCAAACAAGGTGTTCCGTCAGAACTGGACTCTCTATAACCCCGGCCCACTTGCGTGGCCTGCTGGAAGTGACGTACGCTTTGTTGGTGGTGACTCAATGTTCAATGTCGATACCAACCACCCCTTGAGCCTAGAGTCTATCTCTGCTGCTATGGAAAGCAACAAGTTGTCAGAGCCCCTGGAGTCCGGCCAGAGCGCCGACTTCACTGTAACACTTAAAGCTCCCAGTCGAGTAGGCACTGCCATCTCGTACTGGCGACTGAAGCTCCCAAATGGCATGCCTTTCGGCCATAGACTGTGGTGTGAAATCCAAGTACGGGAAGATGCACCTTCTATTAAGAGCACGTCTAGCTTAGAGCCGGAGGGAGATCATGGCTCGGAAAGCACAGAAAGTCAAATGATTTTCCCTAAATTGGAGAAGGAGTCTCCTGACGCAAGTACCCATGAAGGGGGCATTGTAGCAGCAGTGGCACCCTCCGTGTCCAACCCGTCCGAGCAAGATGTTCTGGAAGATGTGGAAAGTTTGTCTTTGGGTGATCATGAAACGGAGCACGGGTTCTTAACTGATGAGGAGTATGACATTCTGGATGCCAGTGACCAGGAATATATGGATGCCAAATCGCGTGAGTGATTCTTTTGGGCCTTGTTATTGGGTGCTACCAGGAAGGTCATGCACTGATCGCGACGGATTTTGTCATATGGAAAGGAGGAGTTGGTCAGGTAAGGACGAAAACAATTTGCAGTGTGTTTGGCGAAAAGCAAATCTGGAAGCCAGTTTGGAATTTGTTAACTGTTATTCATTGTCTAATTTGAGTCCGCGTGCGGCCATTTCAAGGGATAATAATACTGGATCTCCTCATCTAAGCTGTTTTAAAACTGCCTAACATCGAGGTTGGAATGACGAACAGAAAAAATGGACTATGTTTTCTCGGTAGACAACCGTGCCCGTATTGTCGAGTGTACTCCGTAGACCATCGTGACGATCTTATCTTTTTTTTTTTTTTTTCTCCACTATGTTTACTCAACTGTTCCACATTCCGAGGTCCTTTTCGGTCCCAAGTACTAGCAACGTCTTGTTGATTTGTCGATCGTCTCAGTTACGCTCCACTCCGGTCTTTGGGTGTACTCTAGAGTATGGAGTCTATGAACAGCAGGTACGTACATTGTTGTTGATCCCTTGGAGGGGCCGGTGACCCATATAAATGCCTGCCATCTCTCCAACACTGAATGAACGTGTTCATCGAAGAATCGCACCTGCCGAGTAATATCCTCCGCTCCTTCCAGCCACAAGCCATATTATATATATATATATATCTCTCTCTCTGATTTAGTTGTGTTGGTGAATGCTACCGCTGTCACCGTCTTTCTGTTCCTCCCTCACTGGCATATCATATCTGGTGCTGTCGAGATAAATCCCCAGCAGTGCCCCTCACGGATATCCGAAAACGACAGAACAAAGTGTAACACCGCCATGGGGAGTTTGCTCAATCTTGCTATCCTCACCATTTTGGTGGCGACGCTATACGGCCCTGTACACCGGCAGCTGACTGTGCTGGGAGTGCTCCGGAAAGCCACAGACGAGGTAAGATTGGCAGAGCAACAGGCCTTCCACAGAATCGAGGACACGATGCAATGTGAAGATCTACATTACTACACTCCTTCCCATAAGATTTTCACCGCCTGTGAAGACTCGGTACTGCCCCGATTCAAGTGGTTTCCTCCCTTAGGGAATTTCGAAGGGCCGGTAGATTCGACCGGGTCCATCCACGTCATTGATCCCAGGGTGAGCTTGTCCGTATCTTTCGCTCTCAAGCTGTGGAACTGAACTGAATCGGATGTACCCTATATAGACAATGAAGTCGACACGTCTAGCCTTTGAAAATTTCGCTGGTCCCTTAGTCACACATGGGATAGAAGTCCTGGAAGACCCCGACAGTCCCGATGCCGTCTATATCTTTGTTGTGAACCATTTGCCGAATATGGTGTACTACCATGCTGGCCCGCATTCCCAGGCAATTCCGAAGGCGCGCTCGCAGATTGAGCTCTTTCATCATGTTCTAGGAACTAATACGGTCCGGCATGTGCGCTCCATCAGGCATTCGTTGATCGTTACCCCGAATGACATCATTGCTGAGAGTCCTCTCTCTTTTTATGTCACTAATGACCACTTCTACCGTGAAGGCTTCAAGCGTCACATTGAGGATCTCTTTCCTGTAGCCAAGTGGTCTAACATCGTGCATATTCAACTGGACAGTCTTGAATCAGAGCAGGCAGAAACCGGCGTTGATGCTAAAGTGGCATTGACTGGATTACAAAATAATAACGGTCTTGGGCATGGCCAATCGAAGAGTGAACTACTCATCTCTAATGCTATCGGCGGTATTATGTACCGTGGCCGGATGAATCCCGAAACCCGCAATATCTCTATCGTGGACGAGGTTCATTTCGATAGTTCTATCGACAACCCGAGCTATTATGCGGATCCATACCGGACTTCCTCTGATGATGCCAGTGGCTACGTGCTCGCAGGGCTACTGCGATCTATCGACCTAGCTAAGACTCATGCCAATCCAAATGGTAAGGACGGTGCTATGGTGTGGCATACACGTCCCAAAGCTGCAAAGGAGGAAGGGGGTGTTGTAGAATGGGAGACACGTTTGATATTTGAAGATGACGGAGCGAATATTAGGTCGAGTAGTACAGCATTGTTAGTTCCCATTGAGCCGAAGCCCCAAGAGAAGAAGAAAGCATGGCTGTTTGTAACGGGGTTTATCTCAGAAAGTGTTATTGCTGTTGAAGTATCGCTGTAATGCTTCAAGAGAGACTACCTTGCGGTGACGGGCTATGGGGAATGTCCACTAAACTAAACCATGTGGGTTCCAGACCCGTGGTGACACGAAAGCAGATTAATGAAACATGACTTAGGGATAAATGGCTAGCCAGGAAGATACCACAAAGAGGTGTAACATCATTGTTCGAAGTTGATTCAATTTATTTGCTTCAAAGCTTTCACAACATCCTCTGTCTTCATGACGTCAGCGAACTCGCCTTCTAGGCTTGCCACTGAGACGGCATGGACAGTCTCAGCATCGAAGCCCCCTTTTGCCCAAGTTGCCGTAGCATCAGCAATGAGGATGATGCGCCCACGATCCACGCGGGCCTGGTTATGTATGCCAGCTTCGGGGTCAAGTGTCAGGAGCCCGTCGGGATACCGGTCCACAACCCCTAAGTTCGCTGCCATGCGTACCGTGGTCGATACACAATGGTCCGTTGTAAGACCGGCAAAAAGAACCTGTCGAATCCCTCGGGCACGAAGATGTGCTTCCAGGTCGGTCCCTATGAAGCTGGAATTGACACACTTCCATATAATCACTTCAGATCCGTCTGACGCCGGCTGGGCGACATCGAGTGGCTGGATACCGTTTCCGGGGTCATTGCGGTGGAGAGGGGAATTTGGTGTAGTCGACGAATGGAAGACGTGAATGATTTCCTTAGCGTTCCCCCCTCCTGTTTTGTTCTTGATAGCGGCTCGGAAGGCCTGGATGAGAGATAGGATGTTGGCCTCGTAGGACGTATTAGAGCGGGAGGTCCCCCAGTAAGTTGGGTGAGTGAAAGCTGCTTGGTTGTCAATGAGCACCAGTGCCGTGGGGAGATTCAAGTCAAGAGACATTTTGTTTGTTTGTATGTATGTATGTATGTACATACATATAAGTTGTACTGTCCGTGGTTGTTGGAATGGTGAGATGATATAAATCAATCCCAATTATTATATATAATAGCTCATGGAGGGTGAGTCATTGCAGTTGACTAATGTCACGATTGCATCGAATTTCTAAAGCGAACGAGTTCCTTTTCAAGCATGTTGCGTTGATGACATGGAAGTCGATGACAACGTAGTAACATGGCTGCCTGCCTCGGCGCCTGAGTGGTTTCTTCTTTTTTTTTCTTTTTTTTTTTTTTTCCCCTATGCCCGAGGCACCAAACACGTTCTGGTTAGCAGGTTGTTTTTGTCCTTCTCGGTGTCACAACAACCACCTCCGAGGAGCAATCAATTCCTTTCCCCTGATGCTTTGGGAGAATGTCGTCCTCTCTCGGTACCCATAAGGCTCTCGTCGCTCGGTCGTTCTCTACCCCCCTTTCAGCTCTTCCACGGTATCAACTCCGGCGACGCGATATCTACCATATTTCCCGTAGCCACGCTTCATCTTCCAAAAGTCATGCTCGTCCCTCATCCTCCGCCCAGCCAGCCACGTCTAAAGTCCCTTCTACATCTTCAACTGCAACCACATCTCTAGCCAACGATGTCAATCCGCCGCCCAGCACACGCCCGGCCGATCTCAACCTTCCAGACCCGGTTTCACGCTCGGCCGCAACGGCTGATAAGCTAAAACGCTATATCGCAATGGGCCGTGCGTACCTTTCTTTCTACAAAACCGGCCTCAAAAACGTTTACCATAACTATCGCGCCTCATTGCCTATCCGTCGCTCGCTCGGCCTTCCCGCCTACCTCCCTACCTCTCCTCCGCCCGCTCCGCCACTGTCCAGTTTTCAGAGCAAGAAGAGCACTTCATTCCGCAAAGCAATCGAGTCTGGTAAACTCAGCCGCTCAAGCTTTCAATTGGTCCGGCGCGCTGCCTACGATGTCCGGCGCATGATCCCTTTCACTCTCATTCTCATCGTGTGCGGGGAGATGACACCCTTGGCTGTTCTAGCCTTCGGGAACGCCGTCACGCCGTTCACCTGTCGTGTCCCTCGGCAACTTGAGAAGGACCGCGCGCAGCGGGTGGTCCGGAAACGCGCCGCTTTGGTCGCACAGCAGGCGGCCACCAGTGGGTCAGTTACGCCGCCTGCCGCGGGGTCGGATCTGGAGCTGGATATTCTGGTCAAGATGTATACAAATCTGAAATGGATCGAGAGTGCCAGTGCCGAGGAAATCCTACGCGCGTGTGCGGTGCTGAATCTAGTGAAGACACATACTAGACCTTCCACGTTACTGTCGCTGTATCGGGCGAGGCTGGGACGGTATGCAGAGTACTTGTCTTTGGATGATCAGTTGATTAGGCGCTGTGGGGGTGTTCGAGCGATGGAGGGTGCAGAGGTCAGGATTGCAGTGGAGGAGCGCGGTGGTGTTGGTGTGACGGAGGGTAAAGAGGGCTGGGACGCGGAGAGGGATGAGAGACGCTGGCTGGAGAAATGGCTAGAGAGGAGGTAGGTTGATTTATTATATGTACTATACTGTAGATTGAGTCTCTCTTTGTAAACTAGCGGGTCTATTTCATACCATTTAGTTACAGATATCTAGACGCAAACTGTTTCATTTACCCTCAACGATGATGACTTAGCAAACTATAGTCTAGTCAAGCAATATGCATTGACCGATTACCATAGCAAGCCTAAGTGCTGGTGAAAAAAGAGGATTTCACCGTAAAACATGCCATTGATTCATGTTCATGTCCGCCCAGATTATCTGCTATACGCCGCAATTTCCTCTGCATAACGCTTGTATACCACCACGGAAATCGTATACCCTTATGCAAAGGAGGGAAAAAAAAAATGGTATCTGCGCTAATATTCCAATATTAATTAAAAAAAAAAAATAAAGTAATAATAGTAGCGGTGAATTTAATAAGCGTTGGGCCTTCCCGCCACCTGCGCTGCGTTACGGACTTGCTTAGCCCAGCGTAATCCGCAACTGTTGCAAAGGTCGCGCTCCCCACTAGGCCCTCGGCGCCATTCGGGTGTTTTCTTGGTCTGGCACATGGCACAAGTTTTCTCTACTGATGCGGTGCTCTGCTTGCGCTTCCGCTTCTTTCTGCGGGTAAGCAATTTCTGCAGCTCATCGGACAGCGTTCGGTTCTGCTTTTCCAGTTCTCGAAGCTCAACCTGCCAGCTTGAACCTCTTGTTGGCACCAGCTCTGTGAAAAATGGGAGCTCTTGAACTTGGGGGTTCGCTTGTTTACCGTGTCCCGCTATACCAGAAACACCTGAAAGTAATTGCCCATGAATATTGGAGTCACCCAAGTTTCTGTTGGGCGGGGGTGCTGAATTTGACTCATCATTGCCTCCCTGCGGGGTTTTTGGGAAACTAATCTGGGCCACAAGGAACGAGGGTCTAATGCCTTCCTTGGTATCTCCTGGGTATAGGGTGGTCTGCGCCGGCAGCATATGGCCCTTTTTATGACGGATTTTATGGCTAAAAGTGGCCCGTTGGCCCGTACGAGCCACTGCCAGAGCCTTCTGTGCCTCCACCCGCGAATCCATCAGTTCTTGCAAACTCTTGCCAGTCAGCTCATCAGGCATACGACCCAGCACTGGGCGCGCCTTAGAGGTCATGAACAGAACAATCCCAGACTTTGACAACTTGGCCCACACGTCAGTTTCGGCCAAACCACCGTGTCCTATGCTCGCAATATGGTCGAGACAGTATACGAGGCGAGGCCGTCCGACAAGGACCATGAACTGCCGCCCTTGTTCTCCCATACGCCATGAACCATGACTCTCAAGCCAAATATATCCGCTGTATTTCTTCCGTATCCTAAACACTACACTGACCGGGTCAGTGGTGGTGCAGGCCCGTAAATCGCGGATGACTGGACCAATATCACTAGGATGGCAGACCGTCGACAGCGTCTTGCCCACAAGTTCAATCGGCTCGTACTCCAGTACTTTTCGGCAAGATGGGGACAAATAGAGAAATTCGCCTTCGAGAGATAAAGCATGTATTATGTCATCTGTGTTCTCAACTAGTACGCGATCCAAGTAGTTCCTATATGTCAACGTCGAATTATTGAGACTCTTCAGTATGGTCGACACCTGGTCGGTCGTGAACCAAGTGGCTAAATCGGGGTGTGACCGATATATGTCAGGAGGCGGCACGACATAATTTGGCAGCCGGCTCCTTTGGTAGTTGATCGTATAAGTACCATCTGTATAGCTTTTTGTCAGCTTGATATGCTGGACACCATCAGGCTTGGACCCTACTCGGATTTCTCCTCGTGACGGCATCGGGCGTCTCAACCAGGTCAACCTGGAACCCCACGTAAAAGCGATATTCCTGAGAGCTCCAGCGTATGGGAATCATTGTTATCAGATTCATAAATGGCTGTCCACCCTTCCGGTAGTTGATGAGACTGGCTTGAATCTCCGTTCGGTCCTCGATTGTGGACCGCAAGCGCGAGGTAGTTTGGTCATCGACAAAAGTTCGTTTCATGCCTTTCTGGACAACACCTTCTGGCCCTTGAAGAAACCGGCAGTTTTGACCTACGATCTCCCGCTCCGTATAGCCGGTAAGTCGTTCAAATGCTTCGGAGACATAGATGATTGGGTGATCATTTTGAGTTATATCGCAAAGCACAAACGCGCACGATAAATCAACTGCGCCGATATTGATTTTAGGATTCGGTCTCGACACTACTTCGGCCTACAACAAAGGTCAATGGGTAGAAGTTAGACGCTTTAACGTTCTATGGCGCTTGGCTTTAGGATCGCAAACCTACCAAGACGCCCATTATATCGAAGCCGCTACTTGAATAGATGCTGGCATATTGTGAAGTCTCATCAGCCGCCGACTTAGGATGAGGTGGTAGAGGAGCTTTCAGACGGTATCCCGCATTAGTCATATTTCAACGTACGCGGACATAAGGAACCAATTTGCGTAGGAGCAAACCTACCCTTTGTTGGGGATGGTCTCTTTGGTTGAATGAAGCGATGAGAGGACGCGGGAACTGATGACTGAAACCCTCGATTTCGCCTACGTTGTGATATCTGGCCTGTGGGCTGGGGGAAATTAGTAGAGGGTTGTTCATTAAGCGTTCCCGTTGGCTGTGCAGGAGTGGTCGGTTCCGCGTGGCTGGGCGGTGCCTGATATGTATTCAAAATGGTTCCGTGTGCTTGCATAGTAGAATAAGCCACCGAGGGATTCGGATTCATGGGTTGCGACGGTAAGCAAGTGTTGTGGAAAGGGAGAGCCTGCTGTCCCTGGAAGTTTTCTAGCGGCATGGCTGGGAACGGAGAATGGAAAGCATTGAGAGCAAACGGATCGCCTGTATTTATAGGCGTGGGTGTTGAACCTCCAAGAGCAGAAAGTGGATCGTATAGGAGCATAGGATTAGACGTTCGGTCTCCGAGGGTCTCAGCGGGCATGGGATGTACCGGTAGATTGAGGGACAGCCCAGCCGTGTGTGACGGAAAGACGAACGAGGCACTATTAGCAACCAGATCTGGTATCTGTGATTGATAGGCATGACTAGCTGCGTGCATCTGCTCCGGCGTTGTGAAGGGCATCATCGCCTGGGCATAGTGATCACTAGATGATTGAGGATAATCAAATCGATGGTCGGATGCAGGTACCGTATACTGTGCATCATAGTAGCCGTCACTGAATCCTTCCATGCTGTGGTAACCCCCTTGAAGACAGTGCTCGATCGATTCGATTTGACAATTTAACCAATGAGCGCAGCGCATCGACGCAGGCTGGTCGATGCGTTAAGAGATGAAGACCACTGCACGCACTCAAACGTCCATATAGAACCCAGTCAGAAATCAGATGAGTAAGCACCAGTACCAAAGTCTTTAGAGAAGAGGGAGTGGAAGAAGATTGAAAGATGGAATGAGTTCGAACGACGCTTAATATGAGACAATTTAATGATGATACATTACACTAACAGGGGGTGGAGGCAAAAGCAACGAGAGACCTAAAGGATTGATTTGGCATCAGGTAATGGACCTATGTCAGAAGCTAAAAGCCCAATAATGGCAACAGGAAGTGAAATTGATCATATACGACGACTGTTGACAGGGACGGTTTTCCTACGAGCGTCGATGTCGACATGCAAGTGCGGGCCGTAGCAAGCGGGATCTTACCAATAGGAGGGGCTTGTTGAGCCAGCAGCAAAAGTGATGTGTCAAAAAATAGAAAAATAGAAAAAATAAAAATAAAATAAAACAAAAGATCAAAGACTACCCCAGCAGGGTTTTGTGATAGATCACTTGGGAGATGGAGAAAAGAGAATGGTGAAGTAATGAGTGCATGAGTGTGTGAGTGTGTGGGTGGGTGAAAGAAAAAGAAAATTAAGTTAGAATGAAGGATATTTTATTAGGAGAGTTAAAGCAGTTTCTTTTATATACGTGTATATATATAAGAAAAACAAAAGGAAGAGATGGAAGAGGAAGAGCGGGAAAATTGATACAATAATTGATACATACACAGGAAGTTGTACACAATAGCTCACGTGATAGAGAGTGTTCTTTTCCTGGTTCGAGAAATATCTTTCTGGAGAACCTGGTGGAAGTAAGTTTTGTTCTGTTAACTCAAGATCAATCAGATTGTATCGGAGTAGCAACGAGGGAACTCATTCAAAGCCGATCCACTCAGTGCATGTTAATACTACTATTGGGGACAATTCAACAACAGTCTTAAATTTAGCATCATTATTGGCTCTATTTGGAACCGAATTGGCACAATCCAAATCATCCCTATGTTTCTGTTAGATATAAACTATCTAGGTACTTGTCTCATACATCTTGATTTATGTTATTCTATAACGTTGAACTTAATTCTAACTAAATACTGTACTATACTGGCATTGCATTGATATCAAACTTTATTAATAAACTATAGTCCACCTTAACTCTTGCTTGCCCCTTGAAACATCGTGCACTTACATATAATCCCCAAGTTCATCATTATTGATGTTTGTCATTCGTTTAGATTTCGCTATCAAGTTAAACTGCTTATCTTGGTTTAATTCAGTTTGATCGACACAGTTCATTTGCTCCCCCTTTTTCTCTCTCTTTTTTACTTTTTTTTTCAATTTTTAAACAGAAAACTCCCAACACCCCTCTCCTGACCGAGGAAGAACATCAGCTTTGAGACCAGAGGAATTTTTAATAACCGTGTCTCACATCTTTTTCAAATTAATTCGTCTTCTCCAATATCTCAACCTCTTTCGACCCGTTGGGCTTATTGTTCTACGTCTTCTCTAGGTCAATACCACTTACCGCGCAGATTGACCCACTGTCGTAACCTGAGAGATGGCGGACGCGCCGAACAAAATCACCATCACGATATGTGGAGATGGCGGATGTGGTATGTTGTGTAATGATATGGCACTTCCTTTTTCTTGTCTTCTGAAACCCTCCGCGCCGGAAATTGAGATCCGCCATATATAACCGGAATTCGGATTGGGGTTGGAAATTGTTTGTCGTCTTGCGCCAATGAAGCCTAAACTGATTCAGTACGCTAAATAGGAAAGTCGTCCATTACCCTTCGATTAGTGCGCAGCCAATGGATTCATGAGTAAGTTTCTGCTTGGTCAGCCTTCCTATATCGAACAGTTTAGTACGTCAAATGAGTGCCTTGATCAACCTGACTGATTCCGTGCAACGTGTCTAGGTACGATCCTACTATTGGTAATCCATCACCCTTATCCGCCCATCCTTGATTCGACAACATAGCCCTTCTAACATCGAAGACGTTTGTTGGAAACTGTAGAAGATTCATACTCGGTTACACGGACGGTGGATGGTGTTCCCTACTTCTTAGCTATCACCGATACCGCTGGTCAGGAAGAATATCGCGGACTGTGGGCGGCATCCAACCTAAAATCAGACGCTTTCCTTCTCGTCTACGACATTACGAATGCTTCTAGTTTAAGCGCGTTGGATTATTTCATGGAAATGATTGATATTGAGGCTGAACAACGGGTAGAAGACAACCAGCGCTTGCTGAAGGAACTGGGAGACAGCGCACAAGGCTTAGAAGTGGGCATGCCTCCCCCTGTCAAGATTATCGCAGGAAACAAGTGCGACCTTAAAGAAGGACGGGTCGTTGGTGCCAAAGAAGGTCTGGAATATGCGCGGAAACATGGCTGTGGTTTCATGGAAACAAGTGCAAGAGAGATGGTCAACATCGAGGAAACCTTTGCCCGTATACACCACTCCTTCCCCAATTCTTTTTTCCCAGTGTCTAACACTCTTATAGTTTTAGTGCGTCGTGTGGTGGAGGCCCGTAAGCAGCATTACCAGAAAGACATACAAGTCACCAGTTTACCACAAACTGCAGGGTCTTCGCCTGCAAAACGTTCCGCCGGTACCGGTCAAAATAAAGGTGCTGCTTTGAAGTCATCTAACGAGGAAGGCTCACATCTTCGATCTTTCTGCTGTGGAATATTCAGAGGGAAGGAACGGCCAAGTCAAGGCCAGCAACGGAAAATTGGGAACAAGGGCTCCGTATTGGGACACAAGGCATCGTCAAAATCGTTCACACCGCGCTTGTGGAGGCGTTTGAGTTGCTGGTAGGCTCACAGGATGTGTTAACGCACGTGTCTATCTCTGGTATTGTTCCTGTTCTTTTGGCTTATTTATTGCTATTATATTTTGTGTGTGTGTGTGTGTGTGTGTGTGTGTGTGTGTGTGCGTGTGTGTGCGTGTGTGCACTTTCTTTGCCCATGTTCTTCTATCTTTATATACCCCCTCGGCTTTGTCAGCTTGCCATATTGTTAGCTCTCTGCTTCTGGCACAGTTTTGTACAACTTTCAAATTGTATATAATTTTTATTTATTTTCTTCTCCCTTTTCTTTCTTTATATACCTCATTCTTCCCTATTCCTTTACCTAGCTGAAACTTCATTGGAGCTAAGGGTTGATAAGATATTGAGGCGAAAGGTAAAAACAGAAGTGGGAAGCGAACGTTTGGAAATGGTCACGCTGGGGTCATGCGAGACGCTTCAGTTTAGCATGCAAGGGACCAAGGAACAATGTCACCTATCCACACTGGCGAGTACCTTAACATGCTCGTCAGTTAACATGCGTCTCTGGAGATTCTAGCCAGAACAGATTCTGATGAGCGACAATAGGTGTCATTTGATTGCGGCGCGCCAATTAAGAGCGCTGAATGACGCCAACCGGATGCCATCATTACAGGCCTAATGTAGATTGCCCCATTAAGATTCACTATATAGACCAAATGGGTTTGGTTGTCTAGAGCCAAGGTACACCGGTGAACTTGGGCTCAATGCAACATGAACCAACGAACCAGGTGTCTCATTCCAAAAGTCCTTGGGTCATTGATCGTATGGCCAAAAGTCTATCTATGATAGGATCAAAACAATGGCGCAAGGATGAAGTCAAATCTGAGAGTAGAAGATTTTTCGAGGCCGATCGGCGAGAACACGGCGATTGAAAACGGCGATTGACATAACGTGATACTGACATTATATTCTCTTTGAAGATAGCTAATTCCATTTTGGTCTGGTTCCGTTCCCCCTCCCCCCCGCTTCCTTTTCCCTTTTTCTTTTTTTTTTTTTTTTTT